AATGAGACATTTGTTTTTATACTAAAATATCTCAATTCCTTTCAATAAAGCGGGAAATTATGTTCCTTAAAATACTTAAACAAATAAGGCACCAATGTTTTTCTAAGATATTTACATCTTTTAAGGACATTCGGTAGACTGATTCCCCACTGTTGGTTCAACCCCAAAACTTGTTTGTATTGAAACAAACTATGATAAAGGGAATTATATTATATAACAAAGGGCAAGGTCACCAGAGTTCAACTGTGTTATTATTTATTAACAAAACAACTCACACTGCAAAACTAACAGTTTAAAAATCATTGTCTTATTTCTGTTTCAGTTAAGAGCTGGTTATGCTGCATATCTTCGAAAGCACAAAATGGTTGATAGTTTATTATCTAATTTATTTCGACTGATGCCAATGGTGCCAGTAGTATCAACAGATGCTGCTGTCACTAAGACGTCTATGTTTAACAGTCTTCCACAGCTTAATATAAAAGGTTTGTGTGTAACCTGGCAAATTGTTGTCTTTATTACCTTAAAATATCTAAGTTCTATTGTTTTCACTGATATATATCTGACATCAAACACAATACAATTTTTGCCTTCCTTTAGAAATCTGTATTTGCAATTGTTCAAACATTCAAAAACATCCCTTATTTGGAGTGAAAGTTACGTCACTAACATTGAACATATTATACCGTACCTCAACGGGCATAGGTCCTAGGCGGTAAGCTTATGATGTGACTAATAAATCAGTTGAGGTTACATTAAGTGTCCCTTGTTAATCACAGTCACTTTGTCCGTTGTGGAAATCTGAGTGATTGTTTCATGCCAATGGAACATCAAAAAAACAACATTGAACACGTTATTGACATCACGTTTGAACATTTTTCTTTATTTATTTAAGTGATAGAGCATGCAATGAATCCTGTCCCTGAATACAAGCATTTCATCAGTTCAAAACATATTGTTAGGACTGTTCCCTGTCATTAATAAATTATTGCTTTCAGTAGGATAAAAATGCAATGTTTTAGTCAATATCATTGCCCTACTGCCTTGGTATATAGACCATATCACAAATCATAGTGAATTGTGGGATAGTTTTGACCATTCAAACCATAATTGAACACTACTCCATTAATCACAAGACATGCCTGATGTGCGACTTGACAATGCACTACAATTTAAAATTGAGATACGGTCTACGATTTGCAATATTTGTATTTTGTTGTATTTATCACTTTTAGGTAAATGTCCAGAGACTGAGATCCATCATCTTGCTTGTGCAGTATATCAGAGTGCATTGGAGGATTTACCAGCTATGGTTAGACAATGGTGGAATAGTCAGGATAAACGAGTTGCTGCTCATGTAGATGGGTATGTATAATAATGTATAGATAATGGTTATGATTGGTTGGTAATAGTTGTGAATGGTTAATAATGGTTATGACAGGTTGATAGTGGCTATAAAGATATGATGCTTTAAATGGTTGATAATAGCTGTAAATGACTTGTAATTTTTATGAAAGATTTATAGTGGTTATGAGAGGTTGATACTGGCTATGAATGGTTGATAATCCCTATAAACAGTTGATAGTAGTCATGAATGATTGATAATGTTTATAAAGTTTTAATCCTAATTACCGGTATGAAAGGTTTATAATAATTGCTTTATAGGGTTAATAATGGTTATGGTAGGTTGATAATTGTCAGGAAAGATTGATAATGGCTATAAGCAGTTCATAATAGCTCTGAAAGTTGAGATAATAGCTGTAGCAGATAACTGACTTTGAAAGAATTTAGGTGGCTATGAAGGGTTAATGGATAAGTACGAGGTCACTGAGGGTTACTGGCTTTGGATTAATACAAGGCTTAAAATGAATGGTAGAGAATGTTCCATGGCTCTGAAGTATGTGTGATGGTTAAATATATACAGTATATTATATTGTATCTGTAACTTTTCTTTTCAGTTTTACCACAAAGTATGTGACACCATCTCTTGTTTCACAAGAAATCCAGTCAATCCAGAACAGTGAACAAACGCTAGAGAATCTGACAGTTAAAGGCCGACCAATAACACGAGAAATCATAGCAACATACACCATGGATTTATCTGAAGAAGTCTCAATAGAACTTGTTATTCAGTTACCACCCAATTATCCACTTGGTAAAGTTGTAGTAGATAGCGGTAAGAAGATTGGTGTTAGTACGTCCCAGTGGAGAAATTGGATGTTACAATTGACAACATTCTTAGTTCATCAGGTACAACGTCATTCTGTTACAACATTACTAACAATAATCAGATGCATCTCTCATTGTTAATTCAACCAATCAGCATCTAGATGATAGTCTGGCTGAGGTCATTCTGTTACAACATTACTAACAATAATCAGATGCATCTCTCATTGTTAATTCAACCAATCAGCATCTAGATGATAGTCTGGCTGAGGTCATTCTGTTACAACATTACTAACAATAATCAGATGCATCTCTCATTGTTAATTCAACCAATCAGCATCTAGATGATAGTCTGGCTGAGGTCAATATCAAGAATTACTGCCCCCATTTGGCTGCTGTTGGCGTTTTATTTATTCTGAATAACAATTTTTGTTGGATGTTATACTATAATCTTGTCGTAATACAGGCGTAATAGTAATGGGTATGAATAGAAAAATTGGCATGTTTCTCATGTACTTTTTATGGTTTCCTTCCCATGCAATACATACTCAAATTCCTTCTCACTGGCACATGGATACTAGCTTTGGTGATGTGCATCATAACAATTTAGATCATAATTGGCCGCTTGATTTGCTGAATATAGTCCACTTTGTCATATCGCTGCTGATTGCTGTGTGAGAAGCCAATAGTAACAAGATGCATGTGACCGGTTAACACATTGATTGATGATTGGATCTTGTATTGACCAATCAAATTAACTGTTATTTAAGAGCAACTATAAATGTTATATTGGTCTCACCTACCTTGTAGTCAAGGATGGTGCTATATATAAACTAATATCATTCAAGTTTATGATGATTATTCTTTCACATTCACAACCTAAAAATATTTTGATTTGCCTAATCTTTGTCAGAATGGATCTGTCATGGATGGATTGACGTTATGGAAGAGGAACGTTGATAAACGATTTGAAGGTTTAGAGGACTGCATGATATGTTTCTCTGTCATCCATGGTAGTAGTTATTCATTACCAAGACTCACTTGTAGGACGTGTAAAAAGAAATATCATTCAGAATGTTTGGTAAGTGTTCTTGTCCTGTTAAATATACATTTATTGTTTTATCAGTGTAGTGCATGTGCTTCTAATTTTATAAATCACATGGGTAAGTCTATGGTCAAAGAAAGACTCATTTCCTAGGCCAAAAATGAAGTGTGGTTCCAGTAACCTAAAGCCCTGTCCCTAAACATGTTTTAGCTATCGGTGTAAAATCACACCAAAAACGTGAGATTTGTGAGAACAAAAAAAAGCAAATCTCCCCTGTGAAGGCGCACTCAAATCAGCTTATAAAATTCCAAAATGGCTGCTCATCACAGTATGGATTAAATACAATAATGGAATAATTTTGAACATGTTTTTAGTGTTTGTATACATGTGTAAATGCAAGTATTTTGTGATTAATGCCATGTTCTTTCGCTTAATTAATATTGTGATATGTCCTTGATATATTTTGTCTGTTTTAAAAACCTGTTACCGAAACCACACCATTTTTTTTTAAATGGAAAATATTTGCAAATTTTGGCTTGTGTACATATCTACTGGAGATTAGAGCTAATGTGGTAATCCAAATAGTGGCTCAGATGAATAGAGCATCTATATCAGAAGGATTAATTTCTTCATCTGTGCCCATTCCTATGTAGTACATTAATTTTTGTTCATTTAAAATGACCAACTGACAGCCATCTTTTTTAG